GTGCGCCGTGCGGGCTCCGCCGAGAGAAGCTCCCCTTCCCCCATCCCAGTCCTCACATATGGGCGGCCCTGGGCAGCTAGGCCCGGAGCTGTTACCGGTTTTCCAGGCTGCGCCTCAACATCTTGCCTCGTGCACGGCCGGGGACCCGGGGCTAGGGCCCAACGACTCGGGTCTATGGAAACGCGGTGCGCGCCCACGCGGTCAGCCCAGGAGTCTGCCTGGGATCCGCGAGGGCGAAAGAAGGGCAACGCCGCCAGGGACCGCGAGGAACCTCGGCGCGCCCACCCCGGCGCAGCGGCCGCGCGTTCCCCGGGCGAGTCGGTGTTCACTTGCGTTACAGGAGCTCGCAGCAGCCGGGGCGCGCCCGAGCCGCCTCCTCCGCGAAGGCCGCGAGTACCCAGTCTGCAGTCCTTCCAGGCGGCTGTGAGCAGAGCGGCCGCCGGTCACCCAGTCCCAGGAGGGCGGCGTAAAACCGCAGGCGAGTGGGGTCTGGTCTCCGAGTCTTCCCACACGCTCTACCTGTGGGGTTCTCTGTGTGGAATCTGAAAATGCGGACTTCTGGAAGCTGCCTCTGGAAGGAGTAGAGTTTACTGCCACATCTTTAGTTTCCCATTTGTTCAGCAAATATTTGAGTTCCCACTTTGTGAAGGAGATTGGGTTAGACATTGGGAATAATACAAAGAGGCCCTGGAGGGCCTGAGAATCTGATGAGGAGACAGGCCCTCGGACCGTGACAATAAGTAACAGACAGGAGACTTCTTTCTTCTTTGACCGCTCATGTCATTTCAGCTTTTAGCGTAATGGCTATGTCGCTGGACTCCCACGTAGTCGACCACGGTTTGCGTCCCGGACCGGTGGCTTAAAACTCATGCTGGGCGCGTGTGCATGCATGCCCAAGATCCCGAGAGGAGAATGGAGGAGAAGGGGGATTGCGGCGTGACTATCCCCCCTGGGGGGTGATTTCTCGCTTTCTGTCTCTATATCTCTCTCTGTCTGTCTGGCGAGCACACGTGCCCTATAGTGAAAACCTCTCCCAAAAAAAAAAGAGAGAACTCACTTCAAGTTTTATCTGCACCAGAAAGCCTCCCCCGGCCCTCCAGTGCTTTGCTCCGCCAGCGTCAGGGTCCCTTTCCTCTGTGATGTACTTGGTTGATTTTGTGTTGTCTCCTGTATTCCAAACTGTGAGCTTTTTGAGGCAGAGGATTGTGATTACCGTCCTGTATTCCTCGTCGTCTTCTGCTCCATAAATGTTTACTTTGGACAGATGGATGTCCTTAGATCGCTCTCTCTCTTCTCAAGCTCCCCTTAATTCACTCATGTTATTATGTAGACTTCTCTTCTCCCCTTGCATTCCTTTAGGAAGTTCTCTATTGAATGCCTGGTGTTAATGCTGGGCTCAGATGAAGGAGTGGACACCTAATATCAAAGTAGTCTTTGTTCTTACAAAGGTCCCAGTCTTGTGGGAGGGATAGGCACTGATCAGATAGGCTTAACATTGCAACGGGGTATGTGCAACTGTATCAGCTTTTGCTGTGTAACAAAGCATCACAGAACAGTAGCTTACAACCACCTATCAGCTGCTCAGGAATCTGTCAATGAGCAAGGTGGTTCTATTTTTTTTTTTTTTTTTTTGAGAGGCTTTTCACTATAGGGCAAGTAGGGCGAGTATGCTCGCCAGACAGACAGAAAGAGACATAGAGACAGAAAGCGAGAAATCACCCCCCAGGGGGGATGGTCACGCCGCAATCCCTTCTCCTCCATTCTCCTCTCGGGATCTTGGGCACGCACACACACGTGCCCGGCGCGAGTTTTAAGCCACCGGGTCCGGGACTCGAACTGCGGTTGACTACATGAGAGTCCAGCGACATAGCCATTAAGCTAACTGCTGGTTCCTGGTAGTTCTATTTTGATTCTGCTCCACTGTGCTCTCTTCGTCCTTCCTTGTTGGTGGCTGGATGTTCTAGGATGGCCTCACTCACAGTCTTGTGCTTGGTAGGCTGTCAGCAGGAGGATTTTATCTCTTATTCTTCAGCAACCAGCTAGATTTCATGTGGTTTCAAGAGTTCCAAAACAGCAAGACAGAACAAGTCCCACTGCACAAGTGTCTTTCAAATCTCTGCCTCTGTCAAGCTTGGTGACATCCTATTGGCCCATGCAAGTCACATGGCCTAACTCAGAGTCCAATCAAGAGGGCATTGGAATTATTACAAATAAAAACAGAGGGAGAGGAAGAATTAGTGTCTGCTCTTGTACTTAAACACAGGTACTAGGAAAACAACATGGCACCAAGAGAACATATACTTAATTCAAAGCTTTGGTTGAACTAGTGGGGGAAGGACTTCATTGTGAAAGTAACATTTGAACTGAGCTCCAAAGAATAGGAAGGGTGAAAAAACAGTCCAGTGAGAGGGCCAGTGTAGACAAATTGCCCCGTCCTCCCTACCACCGTTCTCATGTCTGTCCAGACTTCCAAATCTCAGAAAATGGCACCAACTTCAAGTGGATTTGTTGAAGTAAAAATGGGCCAGATGGCACAACAGCAGTAAAATCTATGTTTTGCGATGCAGTCCCACATGGGAGGGTTCCAGTTAAAATCTAGAGACCTCCCTGAGTACGTTGGACCCATGCTTACCGGTGATCCAGGACTGGCTGAAGGCTGGGGGTGGATTATAGTGTGTAGGCCCTGAAGGGGAGTACTGTCTCTCTCTTTCTCTTCCTCAAAGACAAATACAACTTAAAAACAAAAATCCTTTCTTTTTTCCTAGCTACACTGGCAATTCCCATCTGTTCCACCTCTAAAAATTATCCTGACTTAATTCCTTCTTCATTTCTTTTGCATCCCCATAATCCAAGCTACTATCATTATTCACCCTTCCTATAACCCCTTTTGATCTCCCCATGTTCATGGTTATATGCTGCAATGCAACATCAAACATGTAAATCAGCTCTCCAAAGTTACCTGAGGGGTTAAAATAAAAGTTTCAACCCTGACTCTGGCTATTTAGGATGCATCTTATTCTTGCTTACCCATCTACCTTCTTGTGCTGCCTCACTGTGCTATGGCCACACAATCTTTCTTTTCTATCTATCCATTATCTAGCTATCTACCTACCTACCTACGTATCCGTCTCGAGCTTATTTCAGAGTCACTTTTGTGTTTGCTATTTTTTTTTTTTTCTGTCTGAAATGCTCCTTTAGATTTTCACATGGCTGGCCTCTTACCATACAGGATTGTGCTTAAAAAGTGAGTGAGGAGATAAATGGAAATACAACTTCAGTGTGATTATGAGCCCAAGGTGGAGTCACCCCTATTTTAACTTACTTTGTTGCTTACCTTTTCCTGAAAGTCATTTGGGTTTAGCTAACTTTCACAAGGAAATGCTTACAGAACAGCATGAGATAAGTAAAAGAATAACTCTGATAATGATGGCCTTTTCAAGGTCCTACCACATTCCCAAACTCAGAAATTTATGGGCCAGAGCATCTGGAGGAAGAACAAAGTAAAATCTTCCCATAGCATGGGACCTTGGCATATAGAACTGCTCTAAAAATAAAAAGAAATGAATGGTATGACTTGACAGGTGACCCCATCATGAGGAAAAGATATGGACAAGTTCCTCCTAAACAGAATATAAAACCTAGACCTAAACTCTTTATTGATATCCTTTTTCCAGGACCTCTCCCTGCTTTGGGGAGCTTTCCACTCCTCCAGTAAACTTCGTTTTGCTATTCTTTGTCCATGTCTCTTACTTGCGAGTGTGGGACAAGAACCTGATCATCTTGCGAACCTGAATCCCACACTGGGATTGGACCTGATCATCCCAATATCTCCTGTCAACAGCACTTATGAAATGAGGTTCTCTGATCAACAAATGATCATACCACTCTGTTTTGTTTCTTTTGAAGCACATAACAGTCTCTGAAATTAATTTATTAGTGTAAACATTGTCTTCCATGACTAGAATATGTTCTCCATGAAATTAGCCTCTGTGCTATCTTGTTCACATTATATTCCCAGTATCAGCACAGCGGTAGACCCACAGTAGGAACTCAAGAATTAATTGAATTTATGAATGAATAAATGAAGGGACATGTGAAAAATCCCATGACAGACAGAGCACCTTGTGTGTAAGGAAATGAGAGAATGCAAGTGAGACAGGAGTGGGAGAGAGGAAATCGTGGTAGGAAGTGTAGTTGGAGGGATAGGTAAGAGCTGGATCATATAGGGCACTTTGGCCACACTCAGGAATTTGGAGTTTGGTTCCTGTATTAGTCGGGGTCCTCCAGAGAAACAAAATCAGTGGGATGCGTGTATACTTAATATAACATGGGCATACCTTGTGTTATTGCACTTTGCAAATACCATTTTTTATTAGACAAATTAAAGTTGTAAGTCTACCAGCATGTGCTCATTTCATGTCTCTGTGTCACATTTTGGTAATTATCACAGTACTTCAAACTTTTCCACCGTTACTATATTTTTTAAGGTGATCCATGATCTATGATCTTTTACTACTCAGAGGCATTTTTTTCATTATAGGCTATACTTGCTCCCAGGACATATTATCTCATCGAAGACAAGCTGGAGACCTGGTACTTAACATGCCTCAATCAAGATCACAGTGAGAGGGAACCAGCAGTTAGCGTAATGGCTATGTCACTGGACTCCCACGTAGTTGACCTCGGTTCGCGTCCCGGACCCGGTGGCTTAAAATTCACGCTGGGGCATGTGTGCGTGTGTGCCCAAGATCCCAAGAGGAGAATGGAGGAGAAGGGATTGTGGCATGACCATCCCCCCTGGGGGGTGATTTCTCGCTTTCTGTCTCTATGTCTCTCTCTGTCTGTCTGGCGAGTGCAAGTGCCCTATAGCAAAAAAAAAAAAAAAAAAAAAAACCCCCAAAAAAAAAAAAAAAAAAAAAGGCATGAACTCCAGTTTCTCTGACATAGCTTAAAAGAGGTCTGGTGGAGGCAAAGAGTGCATATTAACTTTGCTCACTCATTTATTTGGACTCAGTTACTTCAGTCTTGTCATGTACCAGGTGCTAGACTGACCATTTCTGAGCTCAAGTGCTCTGAGCAAGGTGGAAGGAGGATTAGACGTACAACTACATGTTTTTTTTCTGAAAGTTTTTCCAGGCTTAT